ATGAACCAGGGGCAAAAAATTTGCATATCTAAGGTAACCAAGAAGCTAACCAATTGTGTTGGTGATAGGATACAGATGGAAATTCATTACTTTTTGGCGTCATGGAAGCCAGTTTCATTGCTCCATTGTTAAACTTTTAGATCCAAGGTTTAAAGACAAAGTTTTCTCAAGGGATCATGTGAAGCCATTAAGTACATGTAAAAATATTAAAAAAAAATATGTTAGGACAGCAATCTTAGACTTATCTGAAAATATTTAGAAAGCATCATCAAGCAATGTACAAAACTTCAGTTTATGGAATTACTTAATGAAATTGCATTGTCACCATCAATCAAATCTTCAAACCTAAGAATTAAAGAGGAAATATCTTTCATCAATTATTATGAGAGGAAAGAAAGTCCAGTAATTTGGTAACACCATCATTCTTAGAAGTATCTAAATTGGCAAAACTAGCCCAAGCCAATCTTGATTCTTTAATGACTTCGTTTTAAAGTGGGCGTCTATACAGTATTACATATAGGAAGTATAGTGACCATAGGATGGATCTAGTAGCTCTCAGTGCTTAGAAATGATTTCTAAAAAATGTAATAGTAAGATGGTAATATAATTTTTAAAAATCTGATTAAATTTCACGTTCTAGTATCTCAGAAGTTGATTATACAATGTTGACATTTGGTGTCAACTGAATATTGATTTCACACTTGGTGTTCCTTGATATGTCCCTTATACCGCTAGCTTTTGTCTTAAAAAACAAAACAAAACCTTTTATGTAGTTTTACCAATGCTTTCGGAGTTAGTGAAATTATATACATGTGTTCCATTTACCATCTTTTTTCCCCAGTGATCTACATTTGCATTATGCTTTAAGAACTGGTGGGGCAGCAAAAAAATAAATAAATAAAAGAACTGGTGGGTCAGCAGGGTAAAACTTGATCCAAGAGTTTATGGCCAGGGAGGGGAATAAAGAGGTGTTGAAAAACAAAACTGACATTTAAAGGAAAAGGAAGTTATTGGAATGAGAGTTAAAAGGTAGATTTAGTTTCATTTTGTTGGAAAATGAACTTTGTTCTGATAAATATAGTTAAGCATACAAGCTTTTAAGCAACTTGATAACTGCCCGGAAAACTGAAATTTTGGCCAGCTTATCTCAAAGAAAATATTTCTAAAAGCAACATTCTTGAGCATTTTCCAGTTTTTGTTTAGATTCAAGTAAGAGATGAAACATGCCACTCCATTTTGAAATAGGCTCTGCTGTAGGGAAGCTGGTTGAAAAGGGAATATGCTACAAATTAATTTGTTTATATTACCATTAACACTGAATAAAGGTGAATTTAATCTTATACTTTTAATTTGAGCTTTCATTTATTTGTTGTGGCATTTATATTTTATGTTACATATTTCCATCAAGTGTCTGGTTACTTTTATTTGTTCATGTTTAAGAGAGGGGAAATCCAAAGCTGATTAGAAGCAAAGCTCATGGGAGGAGTTGATCAGCCAATGTCCTTACTGCGAAGTGAGCTAGCTGGGCCTTTCTTTGGGAAGGTAGAGGTGGAGTCATGTCTTCCATAGATCAAGAATTTTGTCACTGATTATAAGATATTTGAGTAATAAACTGAAGAAATTACTTAGTTCTCTAAGCAATGAAGACACCATAAACTAGATGAATATACTATGTTATCATAGCTTGATACCATGAGTTACTACTTTTCTGTCTACTAATTTGTTTACTTTTATTTTTTGAGGCTATTGAAGATAGGCACAGCTTAGTCAATGTCAAAGGCCAGAGGCAGGACTGCCGATGATATGTTAGATCAATGATTCTCAAAGTGTGGTCTCTGATAAGCATGGTTAGCAACTTGTTAGAAATGTAAATTCTCAGCCCCACCCCAAAGCTACTGAGTCAGAAACTCTGGGGGTGTGGCTCAGCAATCTGTATTATAACCACAGCGACTCCGATACGTCAAAGCTTGAGAACCACTGTGTTAAATGAACAACCTAGAGCCAATGGGGTTGGGACCAAGTGAGAGAAAGGGAAAATAACAGGGCATGAGATCACCTTGTGGGCCATTGTAAGGACTTTGCCTGTTGTGGGAAATGGAAAGCCATTAAAAGGTTTTGAACAGAGGAGTACTGTGATCTGATAGATATATTTAATCTAATAGATAGATTATTTTGACTGTTGTGCTGACACAGAGATAATAGAGGGCCAAAGACTAAAGCAGAGAGACAAATTAAAAGTCTGTTGCAATAATACAGGCTAGAGGTGATGCTGGCTTGGGACAAGGTGGTAGCAGTGGGTATAGTGAGACATAGTTGGAATCCAGAACTAATTTTCAGAGAGAGATGACAAGACTGGCTGATGGATTAGCTGAAATTAAATACTGGGAGTAGTCACTTGAAAAATCTCAGGGTTCGAGAGGGGTAAAATTAGACAAATCGGTAGATGGAAAAGTAGTAACTCGTGGCACCAAGCTATGATAACATACTTTATTCATCTAGTTTATAATATTTTCATTGCTTAGACAACTTGATCTCAAGTTTGCCAGGTGGAGTACTACCATTCTTACAGAGTGCTAAGGAATTGTTGCCAGCTATATTCTAATTCTGATACTCTATCAACTATTAAAGCAACTCTAGGTTAAAGACTTCTCTTTTTTTTAAGAGGAGGGGAGAGAAAGAGAGAGAGGAAGTGAGGGATGGGGAGGGCCAGAGGGAGAGGGAGAGAGAGAGAATCTCAAGCAGACTCTCCACTGAGTGCAGAGCCCGACTTAGGGCTCGATCCCACAATCCTGAGATCCTAAGATCATGACCTGAGCGGAAATCAAAAAGTCGGATGCTTAACTACCGACTGAGCCACCCAGGCACCCCCTAGGTTAAAGACTTAAAGCAAGATCCCCAGAGCCTCACCTTCGATGGACTCTTCACTGACTGTTCTCTACTTGAAATTTTTTATTACCCTTGACGTTGAGACCCCATGCTAAATTCCTTCCATCTCATTCATGACTTCCTCTTAGTCTACTCTTTTGGTTTCTTTTTCTTTGCTTATCTTGATCTGAGG